AGGAGTTTTAAGTGTCTGGTAAAGTAGCAGCTTAAATGAGCATGAAGGCCGAAGATTGCTGACTGTTTTATTGAGTCACTGTTGTACGCCCACCTTTTCCTGTCTTGAAACAGTTTTCAGTTTTGACTATCTGACATGACTAACCGTTGCATATCTAACAGATTACAACTGTCAGTGAGTCTCCCGAACGGGGGCCAGCGCCTTGTGAGAATGTGTGCTCAGACGCAGGCAGCTCCCTTTATTTATTTCTTTTTAACGTTTTCATTCAGCTGAAGGCAGCGGATGATCTTGTGCAATCTCTGCCTGAATTCGAACTCTGAGTAGGGAAAAAGAGTGTGTTCCAGTAAGAATGATATCATCATATTACCCCGGCATATGAAGGACAGGAGACACTGATTCCCTGTTAAAATGACTCCCAGGAGGAAAATATATTCTTTCCTCATCTTATTGTAGTCAAGTCAAACAAACGAAATGATAAAACTGTGTGAAGTAAATAACATGTGGCCACATTCTGCTCTCTGTCAGGAAAAAGAGTGTGTTCCAGTAAGAATGATATCATCATATTACCCCGGCATATGAAGGACAGGAGACACTGATTCCCTGTTAAAATGACTCCCAGGAGGAAAATATATTCTTTCCTCATCTTATTGTAGTCAAGTCAAACAAACGAAATGATAAAACTGTGTGAAGTAAATAACATGTGGCCACATTCTGCTCTCTGTCACACAGCTGCAAAACTGGAGTAAATTTTTAAATTATCTGACTTGCTTTAGATTTACACCACTTTCAATACAGCAAAGAATTTGGCTTGTCCTCAGCAGTGAATCACTTTTGTTCTGTCATTGTATGATGACCCGTTATTAAATAAGAAACATTTAGATTGTCAACACATGGACATATTCTTGACATAGAGTAAAACTGAAGGGGAGGAAAACTCCTATGGTCAGTTATGTTTTTAATTTTCACGATTGTGGTAACGACAGGGAATAATTCTAAACGTCTCTGATTCTTTACTGAACATGCATGTGACTGTTTTTATGTTGTAATCACTCAGTCCTTGTTGTTTTTTTCCCTTTGTAGGGAAGAGCTTTACTTTGACAATAACTGTCCTGACAAATCCCCCCCAAGTCGCTACATACCACAGAGCTATAAAGGTTACAGTGGATGGGCCAAGGGAGCCAAGAAGTGAGTATTATATTCTTATTTTTGCACTTAAGTCTGCTTAATTTTGTTTAACAGAGACCAGTAAATGAAATATATTATCTTTGTCAAACATTGGTTCTTGCTCAGCAAAATATGTGAGTGCATGCTTAATTTGGAGTCTATTGGACCACACACATACTTGCATTAAACACACACTTAAGTGCTTGGCTGAATTTGGGTAATCACGAACCTGATTCTCATTCACATCAAGGTCTTGATACATTATCTGCCAGTGGAAATGAGAACTAAACCCACTGTATTTATATATAATCGGATTTAGGCATAATAGATACAATCCTGCAACATGCTGAATTCCCTAAACTCCTGTAAGCTTCCAAATGAAGACATTTAGAACAAAATAGGAGACTGATCTTTCAGGATCAGTCCTAGCGCAGAGAGAAAATATATAATATAGCGCCTTTTTGTTTGCCCTTAAATTCTTTTGCCATCAGATAATTAATGCACCTGGTTAATCTCATCATACCTGAAATTGGTTTTCAGCTATGGACTCATCATAGAACCCTGGGGGGCAAAGAAAGATAAAAAAACCCAGTATATCAACAGCATGGTCTTGTTTCTTATTTGTGCACAGAAAGTGTATTTTATTTAAACGTAGTCCAGCAGATTTTCGCTTGGCACGTTTATCTCATAGCACTGCACCTTCCTAACTTACTAAGAATCTATTTGCAATGATCACTGGCTATATTTTTATGACAATTGTGTTTTTTCATGTTCTAGCAGTTTTATGGGCAGCATTTATTTTTAGATACAGTCAAGTCTGATTAATCCATCATGATTTATACGGCTGTCTCTCTGTCTAGCACATTTAGTCGGTAACCAGTCTCACATCATATGGGTATCACTGATGAGCCAGTTCTGGAGTTTTTTCTTAATCTAACTAGAACAACTCTTTCTAAATTGATTGGATTAACCAGGTATAGCTGTATTTAAATTACATTTAGAGATTAAGAATTATTTGATGGATAACCACCTTAAAAAAATCCCTATAATGGAAGGATCTCAAATAATTATTAGGCCTTTGATCTGCATAAACAAATGAGACCTTTAAGGAGCTTTCACAGAGTTTTGTTTAAATACCACAAAGACTGAAGAGGTAGAAAGACTTAGAATTCACTCATTTAAGTGTTTCTCATGCTAACACACGCTGCGGTGTCACCTCCTCTTACGCTGAGAGACGGGAACCAAAATGCCTTCTGTAAGAACTGTCCAGGCTGTAGTCTTTCACCTCAAATAACAGAAAAGAAAAAGCAAGTAGCTATGGATAAATTTCTTTACTTGCATTGCTACCTGCTCACAGCTGAAGTGTCCATCTCTCACAGCGAGGGGATTTTTGTTCTGTCTTCTCTCCCGAGCTGAATCCATTCCCATTTTTAATTTTCACCTGCAGCTGGTGCTCCATGTAGTTTACTTGGAGACAGTGGGCAAACTGCATTCATGGAGTGAAAAACAGAGAATAAGATACATATCATTTAGCCATTCCCATTTGGAGGCTGCTTGCATGTTTGTATTGAGGCATCCACAAAAGAGCAGATCTCCCAGCAGAGGACCCAGCCGCTGTGAAAGAGCAGAGCGGGTTGAAAATGATGTGGAGAACAGCGTGGACTGCCCTGTGTAGCACAGAAAGGGAACCTGCTTGCATTGGGACTAACCGTTTTGGTGATCAGTGGATTAAAAGCAAGGCTGTGTTCGTAGAACTTAGTAAGATTTCCAAGTTCTGCTGGAGTTTTGTAGTTTAGATTCGAAAGGCCTCTGTACGTGATACCTGTCTGCTATTCTCATTGAATAGCTGAACCTGGGAATGCTCAGTAACTTAGTTCTTAGAGCCTAGATGGAGTTATTGTGGTTTTGTTTATCTTTTTTTTTTTTTTTTTTTTTAAGAAAGCCAAATTTGAGCTTGATTGTCCATTTGAATTTTAACATTTTGGCTAAATACTTAGTGAAGCTCCACTCTGGGGTCAGTTTGGTTCTGCAAGTTCTGTTATTGCAGTCTGATACTTTCAAGGCTATGACACTTCCAGAATGGCTAGTTATTAAACCGGATTTTTCGGAAAGAGTAGCTCCAGTGAGCTGTGGGAGTTTCACTGACGTTCTGCTTCCTTCCGAGAGCCCTTGCACTCGTGTAGATTTATTACTGTTTGGTAGTAATCATTCAAGAAGTGTATCTGGCATTTACGTTGCATAAGGAAAATTAGGTGGTTGGGGGCAATAAGGAATTCAAGTCAACCAGCAGCTCTGATAGCAAATGTGCTTTTCTTAACAAATTATGTATCAGCAAATAGTGCCCCTCTGTGCCAGGATCTGTATTTCACTTCGACATCTCAAGCATGTTATCCTAGTTTTCCTCTCTCTGGCAGCTCAACCAGAGCTGTCACATCACAAACAACTTTTTTCTTAATATACACATCTGGCGTTGGCAGTTGGACCAACTTCATAAGAGCACATGATCATCATTCATTACAAGATTAAAAAGTACCCCATGGCATCATTGATGTTTTTTAACTTTGATCTTTTGCAGTTGTGATTCATCTCAGTTATAAAACTTCCCTTTAAAGGAATACAACCGATGACTTATTAGAACCTTCACTCTAAGTAGCGTAAACATAAAATTATGCACATCTCTACAAAATGTCATTTACTTTGTTGCCAGCTTATCATTTTAAGACATGACATCATGCCTTAGATCGTGAATTTGTAAGGCTTGTTTATAGGCAAGGCACTCTGACCTTCTGTTGGCAAGTTGACTCGAGCGAACGGCTTTCCAGCAGCAGTAGGAGCAGCAGCAATACCATGACAGATATCACAATCATTTAGAGCCTGACTTCAGGAGCGCTGAACAGCCATGGCATGCAGTGACTCCGGTTGGTGTTTTGGATGCTCAGCACTTCAGAAAGTCAGGTTCTTAAACGTTAAGTGCCATTTAGTCGTATTAAATGTATGCTTGTAGAAGCTTGCTGCCTTGCCTCTCTGTTATTATTTTAAGTGTTTTTAGTAGAGACAGTGATGTCAGGTTGCTCTGTTAGGAAAATCTGCCCATTTCTATATGAGAAAAAAATCTTCTGGTGATTTTTTTCCTTGGAAAAGATGTATTTATTTTATTACAGTCTATCTAGATTACCATCCAGGGACATCTACTGTGTTGCACAGTCTTTGTACTGGATTGAGACAGCGCTTGGCACTCTGAGTGATGGAGTCGAGCGACAGGGTTGTATAAGATCTTTGGGAATCATTGGGAAATCCTGCAGATATTTTTCTCTCCTCATATCCAGGATAAAGCCTCTGCCGTATGCACATCTTAGCCAGCAGAGCTGCCTTCCAGCTGGGAGGGCTGAAAGAGGTTTTCCGGAGAAATAAGTTGCCATGAGGTCATAAATGACCAACAGATAGCAAGAGATCACTGTAAAGGGATTAAAAGAATTAAAAAAAAACCCCACTCCAGAACAAAAAAGCGCCAAACATTTACCTAAGTCCCCCTTTAATGCCTCTGCCTTACCTCATTACAAATAGAGAAATAATGCTTTACCCCTCCATAGTGGTACCTTTCGAATAGGAGACACGTCCTCCTTTCTGGTTGCTTTTGGTAGAAACCCAGTCAGGAGGGAAATCATGGGGAAGGAGGGAGAAGTCTATATATTTTTATATTTTCCCTAGCTGCCAAAGACTTTAGTTTGTCTCTAGTTAAAGGTAGCCTCCAAAGTCACCGACCACAATTTTCTTTATCAACATGAATGGAAAAGTAGTTCCGAGCGTCTCAGCAGGAGAAAACTGCTCTGTTTCATTCGGCTCCCGAATATTTCTCTGCCGCTGCAGCTTGCAAGGTGCACACGTGATGAAAGGTATGAGCAAACATCGCCTTTTTGTCTGTGCACGCTGGCAGGGAAAGCCAGCGAGAGGTTCTGCTCAGCCTTTGTATTAACTGTTTGGCCGACCCGGTTTATAAAACGCAGATAAGTGATTGAGATTTTTGAGATTCCTCGACTTAAAACCGTAACAGTTTTTAGGAAGTTCTCCCTCTTTTCTTTCAAAGGCAGAGGGTGGAGGGGTAAGTCTGGGGCTAGTGGAATGTGCTTTGGAGTAGAACAGCTTTAAATCTTTCTTTTTCTTTTTTTTTTTTTAATTTTTCTTTTTCTTTTCTTTTTTTTTTTTTTTGTGTTGACTGCCTGTCAGGAGCTGGGCCAGTGGCCAAGCAGGAAATGACACATCGAGAGGCATTTGTGTTGTGCAACATTTTGTGGAACTGATGCAAGGATACATTGTCTGTTTACGCATTCCTCTGCTAACAGCCTGCATGGCAGTAATTTTATTCAGGGACACATGGCATGCTACAGCAAGGAGCTAGATCCTCAACATCTCTTTATGCAGAATTATCACAGCAGTTAAAACACACTGTGTGTCCCCCCGTTTAGAATATTCTCTGGCTTGCCTTCAAAAACCACTCTACCAGCCCCCCTTCCTTCCCAAGAATATATTGATTTGACTGTGGTTTTTTTGCACTGCAGTAAATTGGGGCAGCGCAGAGAGAGAGTTTGCAGAACAAGAGGAAATTTTACAGGCAGGTCCTACTTTGTGCGTCTACCTCAGACTGTAAATGTAGCATCATGGGGTTTTTTCCAGCGATGCGTTGCAGAGACTGAACACGGAAGTTTGCATCTGCATGCGTTTTGGCACAGCAAGGAGGTTTTTAATTAAAGTCAATGCTAAATACCCTGAGATATGATGAACGAGTCCTGGGTTTTCATCCAAACCGAAGTCAGAAAATCTGTGACTTGCGCTGGTGTCTTTCGGAGTGACAAATCTCTACTGAGATCGGCTGGGTTATTTCGGATTTCTCCCAGCGTAAGTGGGAGCAGAGGAAGGCAGAGTGGGCGGTCTGGCGGTTTGCGAGTTGCTCTAAATGACTTTGTAAAGCTCAACGTTTGCATTATAATGCCCCTTTGTAAGAAATGAGGCAAAATATGATTATA